TGTGTGTGTGTGTGTGTGTGTGTGTGTGTGTGTGTGTGCACCACCACTGCTGCTTTTATTAAGAGGTGCAGAGCAGTAGCTGGCACCGTATGAAGGGATAGTTTTAACTTTGACTGATGAGAAAATCGGAATGTTTCAGTCACAAAATGAGCTCAGCTCCGCTCTGAGGAAACACCGTCTGAATACAGGAGGTAAACAAGCTGAAGGATGTTTTTGATACATGACGCTGGCAGCTAAGTTCAGCTAAAACTGGATCATTTCCTGCAGCTGCTAAGAAAGACACTTGACATTTTTGGTTGAATCCAGAAAAAAAAATTTTTTTATTAGCATGAAGGTTTTAATTTTTTAATTTTTTAATTTTTTGGCAATCTTCACTCTGGGGAGAAAACAGCTACAGCATGTGTTGTGTTGAAGCGATATCAACTGAAGTTAAATAGGCAGAGCTGTACTTTTATGTAATTCGTGTAATTCCATTTTGCACCACAAGGTGCAAAATAAGTCACCTTTGTTTAACTAGATCAGGGGTGGGGGAACTCCAGGCCTCGAAGGCTGGTGTTGTAGGGTTTAGATCTCACCCTGGGTCAACACACCTGAATCTAATGATTAGTTCGTTACCAGCCATCTGGAGAACTTCAAGACATGTTGAGGAGGTCATTTAGCCATTTAGGCTGCACCCTGTACCCTGCGCAGTTCCAGCTGTGTTGGATCAAGGACACATCTAAACCTGCAGGACACCGGCCTTCAAGGCCTGGAGTTCCCCCACCCCTGAACTAGATGAAGTCCTTCCAGATGACTGAGCTCTTCACTTTATCTCTAACGGAGAGCTCTGACATCCTTCAGAGAATCATTCCTGAATCATTATCATTCCTGTGTTTGTATCTGTGATCTGATTGGCCGGTCTCTACCTACAGCTGATGGTCATAGATGAGAGCAGGGACAGAGACCACAACAGACCAGTCCAGAAAGGACTAGCTGGAGCTCAAAACCAACTGGACACAAGGTTTTGCCAATGGTGGAAGCCCCACACAACAGAAGCCTTCTTCAGGTCCACAAAGCACATGAACTGGTGACTTCCTAAATGGTGATTTTCAGCACGACTGGAGCGCTCAGAGTACTTTATGCATGCCTCATTCGTCCGAGCACTCTTTCGTTAGGATGCCACTGAGAGAACGAGTGCTTGGGCGCAGAAAAACTTTGAAGGTAGCAGACAAAATGAAAAGGTTTAAAATAGAGCCAAAATCTAATTTCACTGTTTATTCTTCTGAGGTGACGTCATCCAGAGGCAAAAGAAAAACAGCTTCTCCTCAACAGTGCGCGATGGAGCTGTGGCGCCCCCTGCTGTCCACACAGCATCAGTGCAACAAGTTCAGAAAGCCTGTGATAAAAATAATAATGCTATTTATTATCATGACGTCATGCACAGTCTCCCTGACTCTCACTTTGTGTGGGTCA